CTCGAGAACCTGCTGCTCGACCGTAACAAGAACATCATCATCACCGATTTCGGTTTCGCAAACACCTTCGACCCCAACGACGAGCTCAGCGAGGAGATTGAGTACAGACTAGGAGATAAGGACTACATAAGATCCCTGGGACTGGAAGGAACCGATGCAGCTCGAAGAGGTGATCTTATGCAGACCAGCTGCGGAAGTCCCTGTTACGCTGCGCCTGAATTGGTTGTTAGTGATTCACTTTACACCGGACGCAAAGTGGATGTCTGGAGTTGTGGTGTCATCTTGGTAAGTTTATTCAAGCATACATTTACACACAAACATGCACACACATTCTAATCTCATACAGTATGCCATGTTGGCTGGCTACCTACCTTTCGATGACGATCCAGCGAACCCCGAGGGTGACAACATCAACTTGCTCTACAAGTACATTGTATCCACGCCGTTGACCTTCCCCGAATACGTCACACCACATGCGAGAGACTTGCTGAAACGCATCCTTGTACCGGACCCACGTAAACGGGCGGACTTGTTTGAAGTTGCGCGTCACAGCTGGTTAGCTGACTACGCGCACGTTGTCGGCTTCATCACCTCAAGCAACACCAATGCGGCCGATGCTCAACAGGCATCTGTCTATTCAAGTAAGCTCTCGTGTTCATGTGTAAGCAGGCATACATGTGCTGACATAGCCACAGAAGACACATTCGAGCCGCAGCCTTCACTCGCCAGAAGCGCCTCTGTTCGCGAACCGACGAAGCCACATACGGCACCGACTGCGCCTGGCGGCCTCCAGACGAAGCGCGATGCGATCAACCAGGCACCCTCCGAGAAGCCAAAGACCACCCGCGATACCAAGCGACGAACCGTGCAAGTCGAGTATGTCGCGCCATCCTCGCAAACCGCTCGCGGCGAGGCATCCCCTCCAGTCGAAACAACTCCGAAGGCACGCGGTAAAGAGGCGGAAGTACCTCCTACGGACGGATACCAGTCAGCTACGAGCGCCAAACCTCCTCGTTCTTCTTCTGGCGCAGTTTACAATTCGAACAACAGAAGACAAGAACCTCAACGATCTGTTTCCGATTACACCGCATTCGGCAATGCACCTCCATCAGCTACGCGCCCATCTACTGGTGGTGCCATAGGCACATCGAGAATACCGTCGCGAGGAAACTCTTACGGACAACCATCTGTAGCGACAGTGGCCCAGACCACCGCAGAAGGACGGTTCTCGCAACCAAAGGGTAAACAATACCCAATCTCGGCCCCTTACGCACAGCAGGAGACTTCTGATGCGGCGGAGCCACCCAACATTGGCCAGTCGAGCTCTCAGCGAGTACAGTCCATACAAGTCGGTGGGCCACATGGCGGAGTTGGTGGTCACAGGAGGTCTAACACGGTTTCTTCCACTCTTGGCCGCATGACATCCATGTTTTCCGGCCGCCAACCTTCTTACACCCAGGATCCCAAGGAGTCTTTTACATCCACAGGATCCTATGGCGGTTATCCCGAGGAGAAGAAGCAGAAGAGCTACCCTCCCACATCCATGGCCGGACCCATGTCCAACGAGGCAGTTTCTTCATCAGCTGGACCCAGAGCGAGCATGGAATCTAGCCGACGCACTTCCTTTGGCTTCTCCAGAAAAAACACAGGTGGCTCTGGCGAGAACCCGAAAGGCAGCCGTCGCTTCTCACTTCTTCCGTCTTCGCTCTCGAAGACCTTCTCTTCTGGACGGGAAAGTATGCCAGCTCAAGGCTCCCACGAGCGACGCGGCTCTAGTGCTCGTCCTCGCGCTAGCTCGCGCCCTGGCGGAATGGCTTTCGGTCGCGGTTCGGAATCCAGGTCTCCTAGTCAGAGCACCCAAGGAAGCAAATTGCCCGGTTTTTACGATGGCCAGCATGACAGCAACTCTAGGATAAGACAGCCTAACACGAGCGCCGCTGGGCCCTCATCAGCGCCACCAAACCAGACCCAGTTTGCTGGCTACAACCACTCACAACCCGAGTTTGACGAGAAGTTCCCTAACCCGCAAGGAACTCATCCATCTGCCAAAGGAAACCGCCCCTACCGCCACCCTACTGACGATTCAGAAGCCGATATGACACAGTCACAGCAGTTCAGCCAAAGGACCCCATCAAACCCTTACCCAGCAGGCATGGGTGGTGATGAGTTGAACCAGCAGCAGAGAAAGGGCGTGCTACAAAAGAGTAGGCGCTTTGCAGACGCATACGACGAACAAGGCACTGGTAACAAGGGAAGCTCGGGTAGCTCTAAGAAGGTTATGGACTTCTTCCGGCGCATGGGCAAGCAGAGAACCAGCAGCCGATAAAGTGCTAGACGTGAAGAGGGATAATCGCAGAGGTTGTCTTGGAAAGAGAGAGCCACAGCAGGACGGGTGGCTGGGCCAGATGGGTGTTTGGAACGATTTGGTTGTCTGACCTTGGTTGTGGTGTTTGGGAGCATATCGGCGCATTCTTTTCACTCTCCTTTCCTCTCTCTCTCTCTTCCTTTCCCACCCTCACAACTCGTTGTCTCTTCGTTCTTGATTGTGCTTGCTGGATACCACATATTCACGCACATGTCGGCTCTGTTTGTTTTTTTCATCATCAGCGTGCGGCATGCTGAGGTAATTATTGCATTAGGAGGCGTTTTTATTTCCTTTTTTCTTCTGACATTGGATCGGCAACGAAGATTGTTTGGGTTTTACGTTGCCAGGTTAATCTTTACTCTCTCAACTCCCTCTCCTTTCTTGTAGGAAGAGATTGAGGATGATTGTTCAAGTGTAGTCGTAGTTGTAGTGTAGTATACAAAGGCTTTGGGCGATGGCGGTGGAAAGTGGAATTGATATGTTGGAATGTTCGATTTTTTTGACTATGCGTCCGTAGGAGGTTTAATGTGCTTGATGTGTTGGTGTTGCACTACTTGCCGCATGTGTGTAGAGTAACATCGACTCGCGTAATGATGCAAAACATATTTTGTATTGGCATGTGGCTTTGCCTTTGCATAGCTGACGTCTGAGCACAATGGTAAACTAGGCTGTAGTATATATCTTAACATGGTAGACCATATCTGACTCTTTGAGGGTGTAGTTGACATCTACTCGAAGTAGTCACAGCAATCTGTTATTAATGGGCAGCAGAACAAGATCACCAATGTCAACTAAGCATTAAAACAAGACTATTTCACCGAAACGATCAAATTCAACTCGACTTCAACAAATCCGACCCTTTCTATATAACCTGACTCAATAACCCAGGATATTAATTGTCCCGTTCTATGCCCAACTCTGAACAAGAAAAGACCCTGGCAAATGTTGCAGTTTCGTTACTGACCAAACACACAAATCGCCCAGTAGAATCGTAGAAGCGCGTCTATGAAGGAGGAAGCTGACCGCCCTCCTTGGTCTTACCCACGGGAGGGTTGGGCTTGGTGCCACCCGCCGAGTTCAACGAACTCAAGTAGCAATTCCAGCCCAATGAGATGACGTTGACAACCAATACTCTCATCTCCGCGGGTACGTATTTGAAGTTGGTGAACTGGACCCAAGGCCACACCATCAAATTCTTCTGATAACCGGGTAGGTACGCGTCCTTGAGACGCTGCACTGGCGAGTTTCCTTCCATGTAAGCCATGGTGGACAGGAAGAGAGCCATGTTGCAGGGTGCGAAGAGGAATTGATCACAGGCTACGCGCGCGACAATTGTGCCGTTTGTAGATTTGAGGTTTACGCGCTTGACGAGGAAATCGAACCACTTTGTTGCTGCGGGGCCGAAGATACCTGGGGGAGGGTTAGTTTGGGGGATGGCCGGAGTGGGGATGTGGGGATTTGGGTAGCGATAGGGGAATAAAAGGAGAGCCAAGACATACATCCTCCGTAGGCGGCCATGCGTCCTGTACGTGCGAGATCGTGCTTATCGAGTCCACGGCGTTCTACACCCTGCTGTGCCATTGTGTCGCCGGTTGCGAAGAGTACCTGTCGCGCGTCATGTCAGTTTCCTGTCAATCTGCATTGCAACTGCTCAATCCCTCCTATATCCTCATTTCGGCTCGGATTTGGTGCTTATCGACACGCTCGTTGGCCATGTATCGAGTCGCATTGCGTTGCGCAGGAAGGAGACTAGGGATCGCAAGTCAAAGCGAAAGGTCTGCATACCGCTGTAGTAATACTCTGCGTCAAGTAGGGAGAAGTCCTAAGCTTCGCTTGGTACCTATCTTTGGTGTCAGTATCATCTGCTCCTAAACTCTCGTGGCCTTCCACCGCTCTCACACTTACCAGCGAAACGCCATTTTGTCGGTGATTAAACTTCTATGTTCTCAGCAATTGAGATAGACGACCAATGTATATGCGCCTGAGAGCGAGCGACACACCGCTTTAAAAAGGGCAGAAGAGTGGAGAAGTGTGTGTGTGTGTGTGAGAGAAAAAGAAAGTCGAGTAAGTCCAGCGAGATAGTTTGGTGAGCTTGCGGGACCTATGATGTCGTTAGTGCAGCAGGGTCCGCGCCGCACATGGCGGTCGGGGAGCTTAGCTTTGTACCCCTTGATCCCGACTCGTGTCTCGACCGTGAACACAAGTCATTATGCAGGTAGACGCAGCTTACTATTCAGTTGCACAAACTTAATATAGATACGGTCTATTGGTAAAACGGAGTAAAAGTTCATAATGAGATTCAATTCAATTCCGAGCTCGTCTGTTCATGGTGGGGTATAATATGATCAGACACCTAGTTACAAAAAGGACCGACAGTTGTTGTACAAAGGGTCGTTAAATGAAGAAAAAGGAAACAATCAATGCGGGTTGGTATAACTCCTCGTACGTGATGCCACATTGCAATCCGTCTCGTCTTCAACCTGATGTCTCCGCATATAGCCCAAAAAGAATCCCTAGATGAAAGAACGCCAGTCCCGCTGATCTCATCCGGGTATGATCAAGCTATGCTCGCAGAAAGCAGGTATCCAAGAAGTCATGTCGTAAATTTTGTGTAGGTGGGTATGAAAAAGGTCGACTAGTCGATTTCCATCCGTTGTGATGGCGCAGGTCCGCTCAGTGACGGCATTTCTGTATTGTATGTCTTGTCGCTCTGCACAATCTTGTCGTTGACATGAGGCTTCAGGCCCTTGTTGAAGTTGTGGGTGCACAAGCATGCTGTAACAATGGTGATGATGAGCAAGAGGATTGTGAGAATGGCAAAGGCAGTCAGCGACTTGCGGGCTGGCTTGTAGTCCTCCTGGCGGTTTGCATCGGCGACCCACATTCGGATGAGCTTGAACAAGAAGTAGCCCAAGGCAATGAAGTAGACGACGATAATGCCGATCATACCAGCAACGGACTCGCGGCGGACCCACCACGCGGCAAGGAACAAAAGAAAGAAAGTGATAACGAGGGCGGCAGCGGTGAGGATCAGTTCAACGGTCTTTGTGTTTTTGACGACGACCAGAAACTGGACGGTGAAGGCCAGAAAGAAGAAGAAGTCAAACTTGAGGAGGGCGATGTAAATCTATGTCGTAGTCAGTAGGACGGACTTGGATGAGAGATGGTAGGCAGTACCTGGTAGGTCAGATAGCGCCTCTTCAGTCTAGTGTCGGCACTGATGCGCTTGTAGATGGTCCAAGCGAACTCATCGTACAGCTTCCATGCCTAAAAAGAAAAAATGACGGTAGCGACCGCCATAAGAACGGGTAGGGCGATGAGCATGGGCTTGACGTCTTCCCAGAAATCCTTGGGAATGAAGCGGCGCGTGTTGAGGTCGTCAGCAGCGTCCTTGATCTGGTCGAATTGAATGGCGGCATAGACGAGAATGCCGATGTTGTACAGGACGAGTCCAATGACCTGAATGGTGTTCTTCATGCGCAGAGCATCCCAGGTGAGGAATAATTGGTAGATGTAGCCGAACATGAAGACGGCGAGGAAGGTGGGAATGGTGCGGGTTTCGTTGGCGCCAGCACCTTCGGCAGCGAAATGGATCTCATTCTGGAACTTGCTGAAGACGTACGATTCGAGGGCGAGGGCGATGCCGACCTGGCAGATGGCCGTGAGCATGAAAGCCCAGGTCCAGCGCGTGTTGGGAATGTACATCCTCGGCGGGCGTCGTACGACGGGTGGAAGGGTGGTGGGGAAGCCTTCGCGGTGGTGATACCCCCCAGGTTGGGTATCGAAGGGCTGCGGTTGGTATGGCGGTGGATACGGCGGGGTGGGATAGGGCGCGTAGTTGTGGTCGAGGGGTTGGCCTCCTAGGAGGGATGTGCGGGCCTCGTGGTGAGTAATTTTGGCTATGTTGGCAGCCGCGATGGGCGGCTGGAGCGTGGGGATATAGAGACGGGCGGTTGTGCGGGCTTGCTTTTGCGGCGCAGACACAGACAAACTGCGACCTGTGTCGGCTTGGGGTTTGTAGGGCTGCCGGGGTGGGTGAGACAACGGATGGGCGGTGGGAGGAATGCTGAAACCAGAGGAGTCGCTGCGTTCGGGGGACTGAGACTACTGAGAGAGCGCGCGTCTCTGAAACTAGTATCTTGGCTATGCGGAGAGGCCGAAGAAGCAACAGCGAGAAGGACGGAGCGGAGTGTGGGGGAGAAAGTCGTGGTGCAGGCGCGATGGCGATGGTCGACGACAGCAGTAGCGAGCGGCAAAGTGGAAAGTGGTCGTGTTGTGGGAAGAGAGCAGGCGGAGATGGGTGCCGTGGGTGGATGCTGAGGTGCCTGGCCTGGTGCGCAAAGTAGCGCTGGTGCTGGGACAGCCCCGGCCGGTGTGGAGAAAGGCTGAAGGGGGTCTCGCCGTAAGACCCGCCCGCTGCTCCGTGTTTACCTCTGCTGCGATGGGAGCACCTAGTCGGAGCGTGTTCGCATGCCACTTTTCCGTGCGTAGTGTGCAAATACGAACAAGAGAGAGAGAGAGACAATGCGCACGTCGTGCACGCTGCCGGCTACAAGTAGAGAAAGGGATGGCATGACCCTCTCAGCTGCCTGTCCTTGGCTTCAGCACCTGTCGAACCACAAACCACATGCACCGCCCCCAGCGTTGCTGAGCAGCCTGCCTCGCCCGCGCCCATTGGCCAGCCACCGCTAATTATAGTTTGCGCATGTGTGGCGCAGGCCTTGGATTACCACGGTGCAGTGGAGCGACAATCTACCGTCATCCTGCGCGATTCCGACAGCTGCTCCGGTCAATTGTTTCGACCAATCACACGCCCATATCTGACATCATTAAGGACGCGTAGTGCACAGGGTCGCCGTTTCGACTGTCCCCATTATCGGCCCGCGAAAAGCAGTGGTATCGCGAGTCGCGCTTCTGACCGCACCACCAACACCACGCGCTGCAGCCATGACGTCGTCTGGTGACTTTGCAGCAGAGTCAATCCTGCAGAGAGCTGCCGAGGACGGCTCCCTCGACTCGTAGGTTCTCCACCGCTCGACACATGTCCATCATGCGTGGATGCTAACGCGCTCGCCGACAGAGCAGAATGGCCAAAGACACTCGAGTATATCTTGCATCGCCTTGACGAGGTACCTCTATGCCACCCAGCCTTGGCCCTCGCACTTCTGACTCTCTCAGATCATCAGCGACTTCCCCAAGCTGCCTGCAGATTCAAATCCACGACCAAGCACATCAGCAACCACGGACCTTCCCTCGCGACCCAACACCTCCAACGCCATATCCAGCCAAGACTCGCATGCTACCGACAAGGAAAATGCACCGCCGACCACGCCCCCGCGACCGCCCGTGCCCGCCTTCTCCGCCTCCACCGCGTCGCAAAGTGTCCCACCAGAGATCACCACCTTCTACTCGTCAATACGGTCGACCCTCTCTACCAACTTTGCAAAACATCCCCCACATACCGTCCAGCGCCTAGCTGAGCTCGTCCTCGAGCCCAAGAAACGCTACCGATACCTTCCACCCTACCTTCGCGCCCTCGACCGCGTCGTCTCCGTGTCCTCGCCCCTAACCATCTTCCCGCTTCCACAAGCCGTGTTGCCCACCTCTGGCGGATTGCTCAATGGCACAACATCTACCACCCCCCAGGCCGCGCCCTTGGGCTCAGACGAAGCGCTCGGCGGCGCCCTGCTTACACCCATCCCTTGGCTGCAGAACCGTGGCCAGAATGAGCTGATCTCAGAGAGCACAGAGATGGTAGACGGTCCCAACGGTGCTGGTCGGATAGAGACGGTGACGGTTGGAATGCTCAGCGGCGGCCAACGAGCCGAATCTCCCAACGCAAATGTAGCCCAGATTGCTTCGTCACATCCCGATGGCGAGACGCTGCCGTCTACGGGGCCTGTCACCCAAGGCGAGCTCCTGCGTCAAGAGCAAGAGGCTGGAATTGTCCTCAATAACCCCCACAGCATGACCACCAGTCCAACGAGAACTACGTTTGGTGAGATGGAGGGCGGAGGTACCATCATAGACACGGTCGAAGGCGAAGAAGAAGCACCGCATGCGAGAGGTCCAGAAATCATTGGCATGGAGGACACGGGCCCTCAAAAGCAGGGGAAACTCAACATTGAAGGAGCTATCGGCAGACCGAGCCTTGATCACAAGAGCCCTGAGCCCAAAGTACCCACTAGCGCAGATGCAAAGGATCCCGACATGAAAGACGAAGGGCCTGAGAAATCAAATGACAGCAAGGCTGTGGACAAAGAGCCCAAGGGAGATGCAACGGCCAAGGAGGAGACAAAAGATGCAAAAGACGTGGAAATGAAGTCAGATAACTAGGCGTCTCGAAACACTTCCCATGTAACAGGACAAGTCGTTCCAGACCCGGCAATAGCTGAGATTTTGCGCCTGCTTAATAGGTACACGCCTTCCTAATCCAGGTTCTTGTACAGGCGGGCTCTCAATGGCAAGATCAAATATGCCACTCCGTGGGTGTTGCTCTCATGGTACGCTGGACTACGTTTCGCTACCGGGGTGGTGAGCTGGAATATGCGAGTACCTCCCTATTTTGGCGTATCATAGCAACTATTAGTATAGAGCTAGTTTTTAACCAGTGTCACAGGAATAAAGAGTCACGTCCCGACGCAATAATTGTTTTGCGTATCTGCCGCATGAACTTATGTTCCCTCATGTGGTCGTATGCCGAAAGACAGGAATGTTCAAGGTCGCGATCTCCATTTTTTTTTGGTACATATCATAACCTTGTTGTGATAATGGTCAAAAATCTACAAGCAAAGGTCGAAAATCTTTCCAATTCTCTTAATCTCTTTACAGTCATGGGCTATTATGACTCTATCATAACGCCGTTTGGATGAGTGTAGGAAAAGTGCAAGATGAAATCCTCAAGCAAGCCTCTTCCACCAAAGCACACCACGATATCCTCCACCACGTTCACTTCCAATCCTCAGATACTTGACAATCGTGCCCTCCTCTTCCACCTCAACGACCGTGTAATTCCTCCTATGATTCTGACCAACCCACGTTGGCACGTTGGCCACCGTTAGCGGACCATGGAAGATCTGACCCTCAGTCTCGGTAGCTGGCAGCTCGTCATTGACACGGAAAGGTCCAGCGTACCCGATGCTGTGCTTGCCAACTTGCGCCCAATCGGCGTCTGTGTCGTTGGCTTGGTAAGGGAAGGTAAGGTTGGGACGGAACTCTGGTTCTGTGGCGGTGATGGTTGCGCTCATGAAACCTGTGGCTGTGTAGATGAGGAGGCCGACTGGGGCTTCGCCATAGGGGAGATCCGGGATGGAAACGCCATTGAGCGTGCTGGATGTGTTTACCAGGGAGTAAGTGCCGGCTAGGGCGTTCAGGATGGCTGTGTCGTTAAGGACTTGGCGTGGTGGTGGTTGGGGGTTCGCGTTGGGTTCGGGTGTTGGTGTAGGTAGAGGAATGTTACCTCTAGCAGGAACAACTTCTCCTGTTTCGGTACACGCCGGTGAAGCACACACTGGCTGCTTCTGAGGACGAGCGGACGCCAGAGAGGCGAGGAAAACAATGGGAGCAATAGGGACTCGCATGATGCAGTGCAATTCACGATGGTGATTGAAAACAACTCAGAGATTTAGGAACGCGGCCTAGACAGAGAAGTCGCGCTTGCGTAAGACGACAGGACCTTTTATACGCACCATGATGATGCACCCTTCTCAATCAAGCCCGCATACCGCAATCTGTATGACATGATTGTCCTGGAGGCGTCGCAATTACGCCGAATAGGCATCTCTTGTCCGTGCTGGGCAGGAGCGTTGTGAGCAGATACTCAAGCATCATCTCCGGGAAGGCGCCGTCGGCGGTTTGCGGGGTAATCCTTGGTAAAACCCTTTGATCCGTACCCTGCATTGAAACACAAGGCTGAGCTGCCGTATTTGACGGCTGTTCAACCTCTTGAAACGAGTATCTAAAATTGCTATGTAGCTATGGGGACGGCGAAGTGGAGTTGACCGTTGGGAAAACGTCGTTTTGACGACGCTTCGCCAAGGTACCCCAGGTTACGCACCAGCGCTTGAGCAGGGCAACTAAACAACTATTAGCGCGAAACACATACCTTGATATAACCGGAACGACTTACCACTTGTAGCTCAGCCCTAGGCTTAGTAATCCGGGTGCTATTGCATTGCCGAATATTCACCTGTGCCATGCTCAGGGTGTCGGAGTACCAAAGCTGCCCAAGTACCAATGGCAGCTGAACCTACGCAGAAGCCGGCCGCCGGAGCTCCATGGCGGAAGCAAAGAAAGCGACGGTTGTGGCATAGCTTCCCGCCCGGCCACGGGAGCATCCTTCATCTCTGTGTTTTCGGAACGTTTCCCGGATTTCTCAACCAGGTCCTTGTCATCCATTCTCGCGGCTTCCTTTCGAAGGCCTTCGACGATCGCCTCATGATGCCCAAACTCCCAGCGACGCCCACTAGTATCGATGAGCTCGCTTCCTTCTGGGACTGCCCATTGTCCTCGATGATAATCTGACCTCCTTCGGCCCATCCTACTCTTGGTCACGTCTCTGATAGGTCCATCTTTGCGGTTCAGTGGAATCACATGATGAGGGCGAGTAGGCTTGGGATCCCTATCGAGAGGAGTGATTATATTCGAAACTTCTGATGGCTTGAGACGAGTAGTGCGTAGGATGCCCATTTTAGGCTTTTTCGAAGCACGCTCTCCGAGAAGATGCCCGGAAAGCCACGGCGCCGCCTTCCGAAGAACATCCACGTCAGCGTCGGTGCGAACGTAGACATCTTCGTTAAAAGAAACGCCTGCATCTTCGCGTCGGCGCTTTCGAGTCGGCAGCAGGTTTGTGTTATCGGACTTTCTCGTCTTACGAGTCTTACGAGTCTTGGGGGTTTCGTAAACTTTGGGAATCTTGGAGCTCTCGATATATTTCTGCTGGTCTTTCGTGAACGTTTCCCACTTGAAACTCTTTGTATGACGCTCGAGGGCTTTTCTTTTTTTCTCCTCCGTTCCCGTATCTCGAATGTTCTCGGAATCAGGAAACCCCGGTTCAGATGCAATCCTCCAACATCGACCGAGTCTTCGGCTCATATGATTACAGTCATCTTCTATACGACCGAGGAATCCGTTGTCCATAGTATCGTAATAACAGTGTAGCGCAGCTGTAGCACTGTACTGCTTCCTCAGTCGTACGTGCTCGATGTAAACGTTGCTGTTCTCCGGAAGCTGCTTCGCTTCCCAGGCTGCCTCCATCTCGGAAAGAGCTTCTAGTTCAGTTATCAGGTGAACCAGCTGCCTCTTTCTGTGTCTGTAGCTGACATCCGTTCCAATTGCATCTGTGTAGGCGGTTCGCTTCTTCTTCTTCTCCTTGCCACTGGTGGGCATCCACTCATAGGCTTTGCAATGGTACTTGTTCTGCATCTTTTGCCATTCGACCAGACCGCCGACATCGTTGATCCGGTCTTGCATACCTTGAAGCCCGTTCATAGAAGCTTCCGCAAGGCACATTGGACATATGGTCTTGGCGTAGAAATCTCCGTATGCGGGATGAATTGAGTGTCCACACACGGTCGAAAGTGGAGTGGTGAAAGCGGGGGTCAGCTTGGAGACAGTTTTAGGAATGGTGACAGCGACTTTCGTTTGAGGTGTCGGCGTGGTAGGGAACCCGTACAGTGGTGAAGAGCTTCCCGGCGACGCTTCTACTTGACGATTATTGGACTGCTTTGATGGCGTAGACGGGTGTGTGAACGAATCTTGTGAAAGACTATCGTCGAACAGTGTTCGCGTTCTCTTGCTCGCCGGCGGTTGTTGATCCGAGCTGTTGCCCGCGATCTCTTCTTCAGGATGTACTTTGCGCTTGCCTAGAGACATTGTGCTTGCACATACACCAAGAGTCGGTAGAGGATTTGGGCTTTGAGACTTGAATGCAGACTCTTTATGGATGGTGGTTGTGTTATCAACGAGTATTTCGTAACGATCCGACTCGGACGAATGCACGAGTTGCGCCAGGTCTCGAAGAGGGGTTACGACGATCGAAACCGTTTTAGTGATTCGTTTCAAGATGAATTTGGTGGAGGCAAACTTGAGGTGGTTGTTAGGGACTCTTTGGTGGGTCGCGTTGTGCGGAGAGGACGGATCGTCTAGAACAACCGGCGTGTTGGAGCACTTGAGTAAAGCTTAGGTATGGCTGTTTATTGAAGGCAACAAGTTAAATACCCTGATAGAGCGAAGTAATGCTAGGGTTAAAGTTGTGGATGACGTCAAACTCTGTCCAGCTTACACTATTGTACTGATCAACTAGTATTCTTATCCGGGGAGTGAAACTTATTGTACTTCCCTTTCACCTTTCAGGGTATATAGAGACAGTGCAAGTTCTGTGTAAGAAAACAGTAGAACTATAAAAAAAACCCTGTAGGAGCCACAATTGTATACAAATGCAAAAGGATGCAATCCATCTCTGTTTCAATTAGTTACTCCACTACCGTCACTGTTTGAATCACTGTTTTCAGCTGCATCTGATGAGATTTCGTCATATCTGCAATTTATCTTATTCCAGCCTCTTGAAATGTGGGAATCCTGAGTGACTTGTCATCTGTTGCCAAAGAAGTTGGATTGTAATCATCATATCCACTACACGTGTTAGAGACTACCTTTTATGAGGTGAATACTGATTCCTGACGCAGTGCGACACCTATACCTCATATTGAGAGTTATAAATCATAGGTTCGCGACTAGAGTAGTCCATACTTCATTCTGCGTGCGTCTAACGACAGCGGGTGAGTGATGAATATGGCACATTGAAACGATGTATGTGGATTTACGATTTCTTATTGAATGTGAAATAGGGGTCTCGATTCACTTTTGCTACATTTACCCCTATCATAATTTGATCAGATCTATGGGTTAACGCATTCCCAGCTCTCAACAACATTCGGGTTGCCGCCCTGGTACTGATTGACTTTAGGGAACTTGCAGTGCGCACGCTCGAACTCAACCCCAAGAGCCTCCGTGTCGTTTACAAATTTTGTGCCGATCAGTGTCTCGGGTGCGTTTCCATTCTCTACCCAGTCGATCAGAGCCATCAGTACGTTGTGACTGGGCTCGTAGCCGTTGATCTCGCCAAGACCTTGACCGATGGCATGCGCGCCATCTCCTCCACCGCAGTGACCAGTTCCACTGACATAGAAGAACCGATAGAATTCATCGAGCTCGTCGGAAGAAAGACCCATGGTAGAAGAGACGTGTTCGTAGTACCGAGGTGAGTTCTCAGATGAGATGATGAAGTCGGCACCACCGTGCCAGTGAATCACTTTAGTGCCACGGTCCTTCACTCC